CGTGGCCAACTGGATGGGCATCACCAGCTTGACGCCACTCATTGGGCATGGCCAACTGGGTGGGCATGGCTGACTGGGTGGGTGTGGCCAGCTTGACACCACTCATTATGCGTGACCGACTGGGTGGGCATGACTGACTGGGTGGGCATGGCTGACTGGTGGGTGTGGCTGACTGGTGGGCGTGGCTGACTGGTGGGCATGGCCAGCTTGACGCCATCACTGGGCGTGACTGACTGGGTGGGTGTGGCTAGCTTGACCCCATTCATTGAGCGTGGCCGACTTGGTGGATGTGGCCAGCTTGATGCCATCACTGGATGTGGCCAACTGGGTAGGCATGATGAACTGGGTGGGCATGGCCAGTTTGACGCCACTCCCCAAACTGCTGCCTGATGTTTCCGCGTTGCAATGGATAGACCAGGTCAAAGCGATATGGACCAGCCACTTTACATTTTCTAGGACAGTCCCGCAGGCCGGATCTGGCCACATCACAGGCTGAATGCAGCCCATAGGCCTTGAGATTGACACCCCTGCATTAGTATTTTAAAACAAGACATACAAACTACAGGTAGTTCTTTGTTGTAATGACGAGGCAGTCGAGTTGTTTGATAATGAAAAACTGAATCATGATGATCTTTATTGGAGTCTAGTCTTGCATTTATACACATTTTTAGTTATCCTCCATCACTGGTTAACTTTGGTTACTGCTTAACTTTCCTTACTGCTTAGCACAGTAAACCATACAATTAATTATCTCTAGCTAAAGTCTAACATATGTTTACTTCCTCTCTCTAATCCTCCTTTAGATTAGTGACTTTGTTTACCTGAGTTGTATTTGCTTGGAAACATTCTTTATCTGAGGTTTGCCATCCGAGATTAGAATATTCCTGCAATTACAACTCTACAGTCTTTGATTTAGAGAAATTTGTTTAGTGTGACCGTTCAAAGTTACAACAGCGCTGGAAAATGTGACTTATGACCGTTTTTCACAGTTACGACCTTTGCAGCAACCCCATGATCATGTGATCAAAATTCAGAGGCCTTCGCAACCAGTTCATATTTACGACCGGTACTGTGTCCCAAGATCATGGGAATCTCCTTTTGCGACCTTCTGACGAGCAAAGCCAACGGCAATTCACTTAACCGGGTCACTAACTTAACATCCGCAGCCATTCACTTAACAAATGTCTCACTCAACGGCAGAAATTTGGGGCTCAAATTGTGGCCGTAACTCGAGGACTACCTGTAGTTGGGTCTGAAAAGAAGAGACACTGAGTCCACTCCCTGGTTTGCCATATTGACTTTGACGAGTGAATCGCAGCAGACCCACCACTGCAAGGCCCTGAAGGGAGGCTAGGTATCGCAAGCTAACTAGGAATCCCACCCCCAACGTGATGTAACCTGAGGAAACAAGCAGACATTCTTGGCTGCTGAGGAGGAAACCAGCTGTCAAGGAATGTTTATAAACGGTGCAGCCGCTGCAGGAAAAGGAGAAAAGTTTGAGGCGTCTAGGGAGAGGAGGCGATAAGGAAAAAAGATCAGGAGAAGTTTGAGAGATGGAAAACTTGGAGAAGGGAGGCCGATTGGCTTCAGCCGGACATCAGGGTCAATCTACATTTAATGACAATACAGGTAGTCCTTGACTTACAACAGTTCCTTCTGTGAACGTTCAAAGTTACAACGGCAATGAAAAATATGACTTAGGACCAATTTTTCACTGTTATGACCAGTGGTGGGATTCAAATCTTTTTTATTACTGGTTCTGTGCGCGTGGCTTGGTGGGCATGGCAGAGAAAGGATACCGTAAAATCTCCAGTCAGAGGTGGTATTTGCCGGTTCCCTGAACCATTCAAAATTTCCACTCCTGGTTCTCCAGAACTGATCAGAACCTGCTGAATACCACCATTGGTTACAACCTTTGTAGCATCTCCACGATCATGTGATCAAAATTCAGATACTTGGCCACTGGTTCATATTTATGACCATTGCAGTGTCCAGAGGTGGTATTCAGTTACTTCTGACAGGTTCTGGAGAACTGGTAGTGGAAATTTTGAGTAGTTCGGAGAACTGGTAAATACCACCTCTGGTTGGTATGATTCAATTTTTTTTACTACCAGTTCTGTGGGTGTGGCTTTGTGGGCCTAGCAGGGGAAGGATATTGCAAAATCCCCATTTCCACCCCACCCCACTAACCTGCTGTCCAGCTCCGTTCTCCTGTGCAAGGCAACCAAAGAGGAGCCAGCCAATTAGCTGGGACTCGGGAGGCGGAGAATAGATGGTGGCAGGGCCAGTCAGAGGTGGGATTTGCCGGTTCTCTGAACCACTAAAAATTTCTGCTACCAGTTCTGCAGAACTGGTCGGAACTTGCTGAATACCACCTCTGGCCCCGTCCCCATCTCTTCTCTGCCTCCCGAGTCCCAGCTGATTGGTTGGGTCTTCTTTTGTTGCCCTGCACAGGAGAACGGAACTGGAAAGCAGGTTAGTGGGGTGGGGAGGGAATGGGGATTTTACAGTATCCTTCCCCTGGAGTGGGGTGGAAATGGGGATTTTGCAGCATATCCTTCCCCTGTCATGCCCACCAAGCCATGCCCACCAAGCCACGCCACACCCACCAAGCAACACCAGCCCACCAAGCCACGCCCACAGAACCGGTAGTCAAAAAAATTGAATGCCACCACTGGAGTGTCCCAAGGTCACGTGATCTCTTTCTGACAAGAAAAGTCAAGAGGGAAACCAGATTCGCTGAACAACTGGTTTACTACCTTATGAACTGCAGTGATTCATTTAACCCCTGTGGCAAGAAAAGTTGCAGAATGGGGCAAAACTCACTCAGTGTCTCAACGCCAGAAATTTTGGGCTCCATTGTGGTCATTAAGTCCAGGACTGCCTGTATATAGATCAGCATTTTCCAAAGCTGACAACTTAACAGATAACAGATAACAGATAATCAGAGTTGGAAGGGACCTTATAGGTCATCTAGTCCAGGGGTCCCCAAACTTGGCAACTTTAAGACTTGTGGACTTCAACTCAAAAGTTGAAGTCCACAAGTCTTAAAGTTGTGGAGTTGAAAGTTAAAGGAGAGTCTTAAAGTTGTGGAGTCTTAAAGTTGTGGAGTTGAAAGTTAAAGTTAAAGGAGTTGAAGTCCACAAGTCTTAAAGTTGCCAAGTTTGTAGACCTCTGATCTAGTCCAACCCCCTACCCAAGCGGGAGACCCTATACCATTTCTGACAAATCTTTTCTTGGAAGGTCTCAAGTGATGGCACTCCCACAACCTCCAAGGGCAACTTCTGTTCCATGGGTTGATTGTTCTCACTGTCAGAAAGTTTCTCCTTATTTCCAGGTTAAAGTTTAAGGTGGGTAGACTTCAACTCCCAAAATTCTCCAATGGGGAATTCTGGGATTTGATATCTACAATATTCTACATCTCTTAAAATTGCCAAGCGTGAAAAACGCTGATTTAATCAATGAGAAACTACAAGTAGTTCTTGAATTAGTACATAATTTGGCCTGGAATTATGACCCTTACTCATGCCAATTGTTAAATAAGTATCACGTAACTTCATCCAATTTTACAATATTAAGCAAATGAAGTGATCATTAAATGAATTCATTTTCCCCAGTGGGCCTTTTTTTTTTGGCCAGAAACCAGAATTAAATGCCAGAAATCAGAAAGAAAAAAAAACCACCAAAAATTACTATCGTGTGAACTCAGGATGCTGCAAAAGGCTGCAAATGGGAGGTTTTACTTCAGAGCAGGGGTCTCCAAAGTTGGCAACTTTAAGATTTGTGGACTTCAACTCCCAGAATTCCTCAGCTAGTCATGCTGGCTGGGCAATTCTGAGCGCTGAAGTCCACAAGTCTTAAAGTTGCCAAGGTTGGAGACCCCGGCTTTAGAGATTCTGCTTGAGGGTATGAGTGTTGGAATTATTCTCCTCCTTGGGCAGTTTTTGCCTAGGGTCTTTTTCAACCTTGGCAATGTTCAGAAGTGTAGACTTCAACTCCCAGAATTCCCCAGCCAGCATGGGACTCCCAGTTGGAAGTCCATACACCTGAAATCTGCCAAGGTTGAGCCACGCTGGCTTTGGTGCATGCAGCTTAACATACAGCTGCTTTTGAGCCTGTATCTACAAAGCCAGATGGCACATCACAAACCCACACCCCTCCCACGGGTGATCAGCCAGATGGCCTTCTAGGCTGATGCACCAGCTGATAAAAGAGCATTATCTTACTGAGCCCAGAAACATGAATCGCTTTCACGTATTTCTTGATCCGCTGAAGAATGGCTTGGTCTCCATCCAAACTCTGAAATACAAAAAGGGGAAAATTGCAAAAGCTTTTAAATGTTGGGTTAATGTAGCTAATTTAAGCCCTTAAAAAAAACAAAAAAAAAAATCATAGTGATATCTTCACAGAACTGTATGTCACAAGTATTCTCTTAATTAGTGGAGGAGTTTACACACAAAATGAAATCTGGAACCACCCTAGCTGTTTAATCCAAGAGTGTGTATCTGTCACCATCTCCTTGCCAACTTAGCAATAGGATAGCAATAGCATTTAGACCAGTGGTGGCTAACCTTTTTGGGCTTCTGTGCCAAAAATTGTGTGCGTGCTTGTGCTCGCGCGCTTGTGTGCCAGCACCCAGAAGAAAATGCACACACCCCCACGCCCCCTGTGCATGCGGCACAATCTCTACCCCTATCCCCTTACCTGCACTGCGCCTCCCAGCTGATTTTCGGCCCATTTGAGGCCTTTTTCGGCCTCCCAGAGGTTTGAGGAAAGCTTCTGCAGGCTTTGCAGGCCGAAAAATGGGCCCAGTTGGTCACTTCTGGTATTTCCAGAAATACAGGAAGTGATGAAACAGGCCTAATTTTTTTTGGCCTGCAAAGGCTCTTCTCAAGCCTCTGGGAGGCCGAAAAAGGCCTCAAACAGGCCGAAAATCAGCTGTGAGGCACGCGCATGTGCAGTGAGGTAAGTTCGCGTACTGGCACAAATGGCTCCGAGTGCCACCTGTGGCACACGTGCCATAGGTGTGCCATCACGGATTTAGACTTATATAACGCTTCACAGTGCTTTACAGCCCCATCTAAGTGGTTTTACAGAGTCAGCATACTGCCCCCAATAATCTGGGTCCTCATTTTACTTGGAAGGATGGGAGGCTGAGCAGGGGTGGGCTTCAAAAATTTTAGCCAAGGGTTCTCTGCCCGGTTGTGGGTGGGCATGGCCTAGTCGGCCTCCTGCACCACAGTGGGGTGGTGGTGTTGCCCTCCTCTGGCTCCGGAGGCTTTCCTCGAGTCTCCAGAAGGGCAAAAAGGGCCTCCCTGGGCTCTGGAGGTTCTCTGGAAGCTGGAAACAGGCCCATTACCATTTGCAACCTTCCCAGCTGGCTTCCGACAAGCGAAGGCAATGGGGGAAGCCAGCTTTGCTTAATGACCATATGATTCCTTGACATCGGTGATTCACTTAACAACCCTGTTCGGGAAAAGTCATAAAATTGGGCATGGCTTAACAATTGTCTTGCTTAGCAACTGAAACTGCTGGTCTCAATGGTGGTCATAACTCGAGGCCTACCTGTATGTACCCTAACCTTTCAAAACTGAAGGGTTTTGCACCATTGCTCTAAACAACAATAGGCCCAACTATACAAGAGATAGTAGGGGGGAAAGGAGGAAAGGCTTGAATCAGCGAAGAGTTAATTGCAGTTTGGCGAAGCTTCAGTCATGATAACAGTGCTGGAAAATACTTGAGGAGTGTAATCTTGGCAGGAGGGAACATCATTGTTTAGGGTCAAACAAGGGATAACATTTGCAGTAATGAATAAGAGAAGATGGTTTCCCCACCGTTGGGAAAGTCAGCTTGGAGAGAGAACTTGCACAGTAACCATTTTTCGATGGCCTCCTTTTATCTGATGAAATTTTAGCATTTTGGCTCCTGATTTTAGATGTTGGTAGCAGAGGTGGCATTCAGCAGGTTCTGACCAGTTCTGGAGAACCAGTAGAAGAAATTTTGAGTAGTTCGGAGAATCGGCAAATTACCACCTCTGACTGGCCCCGCCCCCATCTATTCTCCGCCTCCCGAGTCCCAGCTGATTGGCTGGGTCTTCTTTTGTTGCTCTGCACAGGACAACAGAGCTGGAAAGCAGGTTAGTGAGGTGGGGAGGGAATGGGATTTTGCAGTATCCTTCCCCTGCCACACCCACCAAGCCATACCATGCCCACCAAGCCGCGCCCACAGAACCAGTAGTAAAAATTTTTGAATCCCACCACTGGTTGGTAGAGATGCAGGGAAAACAGGTACAATGGCTCAGGAGTTAAAGATGCGGAGCTTGTCAGCTGAAAAGCTGTCAGCCGGGTTCGAGATCTGAGCTCCGTGTGATCAGGTGAGCTCCCGTTCCTTGCCTCAGCTCCTGCCCACCTAGCAGTTTGAAAGCATGCAAATGCGAGTAGATAATAGGTATCACTGGTGGGAAGATAACAGCGTTCTGTGCACCTCCGTGTATAATCATGCCAGCTACATTATAATGGAAATGTCTTCGGGCAATACTGGCTCCTTTGGCTAAGAAACAGTCATGAGCACTGGCCCCTAGAGTCGGGCATGACTGGATGAGGAAACTTTTACCTTTCTCTTTAGAGATGCAGGGTTGAGTGTTAAAACTAGTAAAACATGTGGAATTCACTCATGCACCTGCCTCCTGTGGTTTAAGTGTTGGTTGTGTTGGAGATTTCACATCTGGGGCTGTGATGACCCAGAGCATGGCACAAAGGCAACACAGTCCAATAAGCAACAAGAGTCCCTTTATTATCTCCAACTTTGACCTCAATGTCCAGGTTATCTTCTGGCTGGAGAAAAAGGAACAGCCTTTGACTGTAGAAAATTCAGTCCAAACCAAGATACACACAAACTGTAACTTAAAATCCAAACAAACCAAACTGAAGTAATTAGTTTAGCAGGGCAGGAGCAGGAATTTCAAACTTGAAAGCACAGCAAAACTCACACAGTTGGAAAGGCACCAGGAACACAGATAAGCCATGATGATACAAGATAAAGTCACGTTTGGTCCCAACAGCTTGCTGCACGCAGCTTGCCTTTTTTATACACTGTGTTCCCAGCTGCAGCTAATAAAGGGAATCAGGGCCCTTTCTTTCCCCACAAGCCATGCAACCTACGTTGCTCTCTTCTCCGTTCCTCCCTGCATACCCTAGGATGAAGAAGGGGTGGGCCTGGGTTTTCCTCTGAATTCCCTCTGCCTTGCTCTACCTCTCCCCTACTCTGCCCAGCCAGACTTTGCCCTTCCCCAGTTTCTTCCACAGCCAACGGAGCCACTCTCACTCCCTGTCAGATAGCCTCAGCTTACAACCATTCATTCAACAACCATTTAGTTATGATGGGGCTGGGGGAAAAAAGACGTATGATCCTCGCATATTGCATCCTGATGGTCACTTGATCAAAATTTGGGCACTTGGCAATTGGGCCCTTGGCAACCGTGATGTCACGTGATTGCCATGTATGACCTTCCCAGGGGGCGTCTGACAAGCAGTCAACAAGGAAAGCCAGATTTGCTTATTGCCCCCCCCCACCTGATTCACTTCATGACTTTGATGATTCGCTTAACGACTGTGGCAAAAAAAAAAAAGGTTGCAAAATTGGGTGCAATGCACTTCACCGCATCGCTTAGCGATGGAAGTTCCGGTCCCAATTGTGGCCGTAAGTTGAGGACTATCTGTATCTGGGATTTGGAGAGCAATTCCTGGAGGTTCTCACATAATGGCTATTCTTGGGGTTCACTAAAAGAATTTAAGAAAAATCCATGCCATCGTGGCAGGGAGACTCTTTCAATGTGAGCTGGGAATTCCGTAGATGTGTGTCCATATTATTCCTTGGCTGTGGTAAAGAGGCTGTTATGCCACTGGCCTCTTCTGAAATATTTTTCCACTTCCCAATCAGATCTGTAAATTTGGATATTCCCTGCAGCAGGGGTCTCCAACCTTGGCAACTTTAAGCCTGACGGACTTCAACTTCCAGAATTCCCCAGCCAGCTTTGAAAGTCCTAAACTCTTAACACCAGATTAGACTTAATTTACGTTATTCTGCATAAGCGTTTACTCCAGTGTTTCTCCATTCTGGCTGGGGAATTCTGGGAGATGAAGTCCACACATCTTAAAGATGCCAAGGTGGAAAGACACCGATATACTCCAACTAGCAGGGACTCTGGCAAAGAAACCCTTCCTCATCTGCTGCCAATTCTCTTTTGCCTGGAGCTGAACCTGAAATTCATTGCCTGGAAAAAGGTCAGAGGGGCTGTAGAATTTGACCCAAACTACCTGCGTCAGCCTCCAGTTTCTCCCGTACCTCACATGACAAGAGTTCACCTGGGCAAGGCAGAAGTCTTGGCATGCCTGATCTTGTGAGAGGAGCTGCAGGAGGATCCAGGGAGGGGTGTCTCTCCCAGGTGGATCAGGTGCACAGAGGAGACAAGCTGTCGGTTGAGGTGTTATTATCCAGCAGTGCAAGATCCTTAAGTGCTTCAAGAGGAATCAGACTGGAAGGAAGGAATCAGAGCATTGCAGCACAGTGCAAATCTCACAATGCTTTTTATTGTTCTGTTAGGAGAGTACAGCAATAGCACTTAGACTTATATAACGCTTCACAGTGTTTTTACAGCCCTCCCTAAGAGGTTTACAAAGTCAGCCTATTGCCTTCAACAATCTGGGTCCTCATTTTACCCACCTCGGAAGGATGGAAGGCTGAGTCAACCTTGAGCCTGGTGAGATTTGAAGTGCTAAATTTCAGGCAGCCAGCAGCCAGCAGAAGGAGCCTGCAGTACTGCATTCTAACCACTGCACCACCACAGCTCTTGTATATGTAGTATACTGTATGTAGCTCTCAACTTACAAACATTTGTTTAGCAACCATTCGAAGTTATAACGCAAGTGAAAAAAGTGACTTAGAACCAAGCCTCACACTTACGACCATAGCAACATCCCCACGGTCACATGATGAAAATCCAGGTGCTTAGCAACCAGCATGTATTCACGATGGTTGCAGATTCCTAGAGTCACAAGATCTCCAATGTTCCCAGCTGGTTTCTAACAAGCAAAGCCAATCAGGGAAACCAGATCCGCTTAATGATTCTGTCATTAGCTGAACAATTGTGGCAAAAAAAAGGTTGCACAATTGGCCACAACTTACTTAAACACCGCCTTGCTTAGCAATGGAAGTCCTGGTCCCAATTTTGGCTGTAAGTCGAAGGTTATGTGGAATCTCCTTGATAACTTCCAAGTTTTCAAATATCTTTTCCAATCTGG